AAAAGACCAAAAGGTTCTGGGCCACCTTCACAATTTCTGCAAACTTGAGCCCATTGTTGCTGCCACTGTGTCAGTCCACCTTGTTGTGGTCTAACTCTTCTTTCCTTCCCTACACGTTACCAAGATCAATGTCCTTCTCCAGTAACGGGTCCCTTCTGATAATATGTCCAAAGCAGGAGTGAAGAAGTCTGGCTATGTTGTCTTCTAAGGAGCATTCTGGCTGTACTTCCTCCAAGAGAATTGTTTGTTCTTCTGGTGGTCCATGGTACATTCAATGTTCTTCTCCAACACCATAATTAAAATATAGGAAATTTCCCACAGTATTCCTTATTCATTGTCCAACTTTTGCATGCACATGGGACTATGGAAAATACCATGGCTTGGATCATGTGCACTTTAGTCCCCAAACTGACAACTTTGATCTTAAACCCTTCGACAAGAACTTGTACAGCAGATATGGCTAATGAAATATGCCATATGGCTTCTTGAAGGCTTTTTCCATGAGTGGTGATCCATCACAGCAAAATTAAGTCTTTGGCAGTATGAAACTTGTCTCCATTTAGCATGATGTTACTTATGGCTCCATCAGTGAGGATCTTTATTTTCTGGAGTTGTTAGTGCTAGGTGCCATCGAGTTGGCACCAACCCATAGTGAGGCTAAGCACAACAGGAGGAAACACATACTGGGCCAGGGACAACCTCACATTTGTTGCCATGCTTTAGCCCATTGATGCTGCCACTTTGCAAATCCATTGAGCTGAGGGTCTTCCTCATTTTCTCTGAACTTCACCTTACCAAGTAAGATATCCTTCTCCAGAGACTGGTCTCTCTTGACACTATGTCCAAAGTATGAGAGACGAAGTCTAGCCTTCCTGGCCTCCAAAGAGCACTCTGGCTGCACTTCTTCCAACACAGATCATTTGTTCTTTAGGTACTTTCAATATACTCCTCCAACAACATTAATTAAATGCATCCATTCTTTGATTATCTTCTTTATTCACTGTCCAATCTTCTCATATATATGAGGTTATTAAAAATATCATGACTTGGGTCCATCATACCCCTTAATCCTCAAGCTATATCTTTGCTCTTCAACACTTTTAAAAGGTCTGGTGCAGCAGATTTGCCTAATGCTGTACATCCACAAGAGCCTAAATATGACCTTGAATATATCCCACCTGAATTTAGAGATCATCTGAAGAACAGACTTTTAGGAGTAAGGTACTCTTACCTGAACCAAGGTAGTTTCAATAACCTCATATGCAGGTGGAAGTTGGACAAAAAGTAAGGAAGAGCATTGAAGAATTGACACATTTGAGTTATGTTGTTGAAGAATATTAAAAGTACCATGGACTCCCAAAATAACAAATAAATTTGTGTTGGACGAAGTACAGTCAAAATGGTCCTTAGTTGTAGGGATAACAAGACTTCGTTTCTCATAATGTGGACATAATTTGAGACCAATCATTGAAGAAGGACAT